ACGATGTAGCTAGAAATTTCTTTCCTACTAAGAGGGACCTTAGACAATGAGATCCTCTTGCCCCTTTCCTTTTCACCTTAGTAGCTAGCCTCTTGAATGATCTGATAGCCAAGGCTGATGTGGAAAACAGGATTAAAGGCTGGAGAGCTGGGAGCGAAGGAGTGGTGGTTACACATTTGCAATTTGCAGATGAGTTCATCTTGTTCTATCAAAGGGAAAAGGAAGAACTAGTAAACTTGAAGGGAGGGGGTAAATTAATATGGAGAGCCACAAGGGCAGCAGTCCTCTGGTCAATTTGGGAAGAAAGAAACAACATGATCTTTAGAGATGTTGGAAAATCTAAGAAAGAAGTCATTGATGGAATAATCATCAAAATTATACATAAGCTGAAAACATTAGAGCTTTTCAAGGACTTATCAGTTGATGACATCTTCTGCTTCTTTGAAGGTTGGAACTCAGGATCTATGGATTCCTATTTTCCAAAGGGTAAAGCTGAATTTTGATGGGAGTTCTTTAGGCAACCTGGGCCATTCTGGAATAGGTGGAGTTCTAAGGGATGAAGAGGGCAGACTAATTGCTATATTCTCCGGGCCAATAGGAGAAAGAGATTCACTGAGAGCGGAAGTGTTGGCTCTACTTCAAGGTTTAAGCCTGGCTAAGCAGATGGGTCTTCATCAAGTTAAGGTAGAGAGGGATTCTAAGCTAGTAATTAGGTGGATGCAGTCACAAAGTTTGGGAATCCGGATCTATAGACAGTTTGTGAGGGAAATAAATTGGTTAGCAAGGGAGATAGGAATCTTTTTCAAGTGGGCTAAAAGGTCGGCTAATGGATTAGATGATATGTTGGAAAAACAAGGGAATTTTAGAAAGAATTTGTTTTGGGCAGTAACGAGCTCGAGCCCAGTAAAGCTCGGCTCATGAGGCTCACAAGCCTGATATATATATAATAAATAATTTTTATTATATGTATAATAATATTTATAAATATAGTACTTTTATTTTTTATATGTATGATAATAAATAATTTTTATTTTTTATAGGAAGCTTGGCTCACGGTCAAGCTCGAACATGCGAGCTTTTGAGCTGAGCCAAATTCGAGCTCAAGTCTCTAGCTTGAATCAAGTTCAAGCTCAAGTCTAACATTGTTTTGGTGAGCCAAGCTCAAATAGCCAGGTTTTTGGCTCAAATCCACCCCTAATTGTAACTCAAGATTGTAGAAAACCCATATAATCGAGTCTAAGTACAGTCCTTGTAATTGAAATTTTAGAGTTAAAATTAATTGAATATAAAGCTTGTTTGAAGTTACCTATGGGTTACAGTGATCTTTTCCTTCCTTTCTCCTTTCTACCATTGTATCCCTCAAGACGCAATATTTCTCATATCTCTTCTCTTCCTCTTATCTATTCAAATCTGGATCTCTATACTTTGCTTATTTATTTTAAAAAAGGCAAAGTAAGAATTTATAAAAGAGACTTTCTCCTTCTATACTTTACCGACCACACACACCACAGTAGGACTTTCTCCTTCTTTTCTACATCTCTAAGCCCTTTAAGCTATAGTTGCTGGAGGATTTCTATATGGAGAACCAACTTTGGAGAAATTTGTTGGCACTCCAAGGAACTGTTCTCACCATGGGGTTAAGTTGATTTTTTTCTTTTATAAATGATGATATTTCATATAATGTGAGGAAGAGATTTCTTCAAAACTGCAAAATACAAGAGGAAGATTTCAAGGAACAGAGACAAAACAGAATGCAAACTTCCCTCACCTCAAAAGCGGGATAAAAAAGGATGCAATCCCAATCTTTCCTGAAGTGATCTTGCTTGAAACCCACCATGGTGATAAGTTACTGTATTAGATTGTTCTACATGCATGCCAATGGAAGATGCAACAGGGAACAGGTTATCACAACATATGTTCTATATGCAGTATCTAATGTAACTTAGCTCAATTTTACAAAGGGTAGTTAATAGATAGAAATACCGGTTGCAAGAATAATACAAATAAAAGAGCACATACACAATAAACGTAGGAAATTAACTGATAAATTTATCACATTTCATAAAAAAGGGTACCTACTTTCACAATGGTATATAAAATTTCTAAGAATTTCTTAATAAATTTTGATGGGAAAAAGTAAATTCCACTTCTGAAGTGCTTGTTTTTAATGGTCATATAAATTCAATATAAATAAGAATTTTTGGAATCCATTGGGACTTCGTTATGGTTCCAATTATGCATAGATATCAATTAATGCAAATTCTATGGTACAAAAAAATACATCATTTTTCCTGTACCAGTACCATGAAATGCACCTCAAGATACAAATGTTGAAATATGAGCACATTTTTTTATCAGTAACAATAAAGCATTTTATTATTTAGAAATAAATAAATGTAAATAACAGTAAAGGGATTATCAGCCTCAACTAACCATTCTTGTGAGGTTCAGCATCAAAATATAATTTCCCCTTTGATGTACAATTCCCCAATATGTTAGATTCCTTGCCAACCCCTGTTTCACCAGCCTATCTGCTAGACTATTAGCAGGCCTAGGTATGAGGTATCCACTGTATGGTCTCAATTCCTTTACTAACTCTTTAGCTTCTCTGGTCTCATATCTGTGCTTCCATGGTCCCTTGTAATTCCCAGCCAATTTKCTATGACCTTAGAGCCCCCTTCAATCATTATATTGTTGTACCTCATAACTTTGTTCCTTTCCAAACCTGCCAAAGGAGCCTTTAGTTCTATCCTAATTGAATCCCCAATGCCAATGAGTCTTGGATATATAAACATGAAATCAATGTTTTAAAAGGCATGGGACGTGGAAGACAATGTCTGGAGGTGTGCCTCTTGGCCTTGAGGCATAAGCCAAAGGTGTTGATGCCTCTGAGGTGTACACCTCAGGTACATGAAGTGTGCACCTCATGCATGCCTTGTGCACTTCTCTCCATCCCTTTTCCTCCTCATCCCCCTCCTCCTATGCCTCCTTGGGCTCAGGAGGCTTACGTCTCTTACATTCTCACACCTTCAGGTAGTGGAACGCCTCGGGTCATGCCTCCACATTTTAAAACATTGACCATGATATCACCCATATGGTTTCTAATCATTCTTATACCTAATGGACCCAGGTTGCCTATGCTGCAACCATCAAAATTCAGTTTGATATACGGTAGCTGTGATTGCCTATGAGGACTGTAATGTTGCACCTCAGGCACTTGCAATACTGATGTTATGATGTTGCACTTGAGTCAATGTGCAACATTAAGGTGCCCATGGTGCTATATTTATGGCTCAAGGTACATTTTGTAGCATCTACCAAAAGACATCTCTATGTACCTAGGGGCTAGGGTTACTCATAAATTAAAGGATCATTTACTAAGACACCACCCCTACTTTGCAACCACTTTGCTAATTGGTGGTTCTTTTCTATGGAAGTGTTAAAATGACATTTTTCACTCTGATGTCTATTCAACCAAAATAACTAAAAGAAAATAAGTAACTGAAATGTCAAATTGAAATAACAGAAGAGAAAAAGAAATAAAAATAAAATAGACAATAATAAGAAAAATAACAGAAAATAATAAATTACAATGAAAAATAAAGAAAGATAACAGAAAATAAAAAATAAAAATATTTTTCTATTATTGTCTTTTATTTTTTCTGCTATCTTCCTTTATTTTTACTTTAATTTTTTTTTTGTTTGTCCTTTTTTTATTTTCAGAATAAAATAATGTGGGGGAGAGCTTTTGTTTCTAAATGGAGGGTGATATGAGACTTTTATATGTTTACTTTTTGAATAAAAAACAATTATTAAAAGGATATACAAACAGTTCCTAATGGATGGTGAATTAAGTAAAACAATTGCAAACTAGAAGGATTGTCATAGTAATGCACAAACTATAGTGTAGATCTTAGTAGTTAGTGTTTACGTGAAACCATAGGGTCACTGTATAGGAGTGATATTTTCGAAGTTTTTTTTAAATCGAATTCAAATTCAAATTTTAAATTTCCAACTGTCTCCTATTCATTCAATACTATTAATTTCCACCAATGATGCCATTAACTCCTATAATCTCTCATTGATTCCCTTATTTAACTCTTTCTCTCTCCTCATTAACATGTCATTAACTCTTTCTTACACTTTCCATTATTTAACTCTCTTTTTCTACCCTCATTGACACGTTATTAACTCAGTTCTCTCTTCTCTCATTAACACACATGTTACATAAACTTACAAACAAGGGCCAAGGAGATTCGAATCCAAGCATCTAAGTTCTGAGGCATCAAATCTACCACAAGTCCATATCTCGTTTATTAGTTATAATTATCCTAGTTCTAGATTTTAACTTATATTTCCTTTTCTTGGTTCATGCTTAAAACATATATATTTGTAAATATCAAAAATAATTACACTGGTTTTCTAAGAATTAAAATATAACCAAGCCATGTGTTGGATGCCTCCCCTTAGTTCATACTTCACATAAACTATGAAGTATATGTCTTTGTCTTAATCTTATGTGCTTAATTTATAGATATTTAAATCTAGATTTACTGTTGATACACTTTTTTGGGGGATTTATTTGAATTTTAATAGTGAATCCATGTTTTTCCTAAATTTTCTACTGTATCCATGYATATCCAAAGTGTATCCTGATATATCTCTTAAAATTGCCTTTTCCGATACTCTTTGCGTTTCCGATACTTTAAACCTTGAACACCAGAACACAAAGTGATTGAAAGTTGTTAGATACATAATATACAGCTAGTGAACTTATTGTCATAATGCCATATGGTAGAGATGAAATATGAGCATTAAAATTCTTACAAATACTACTTCAGCTGAAAACAATGATCCACCATAGACACCAAAAAGATTTATACAATAACACAATGTCCGGGCTTACTGAAAACAATGAAAAGCACATACTTTCTAGATTTTACATTCAAAATAGAAACATGCAATACTTTTTAGTCATAGTAAGATAAATGCAGTCATACCACACTTTCTGGGACTCCTGGAGGAGGCAAAGGGAGATTTTTTGGCGGAGGACCACGAAGATATGATCTCTTGTCAAATCGCCACTCCCCAATTTTCCCATATGTAAGCTTACCCTGAGTAATCATCTTCACATAAATAACTAAAGAGAAAATAATGAATCTAAATCATAATCAAGAATCATGTATTGATAAAATGAAATTTCAACATCACAGAATAAATAAATGCAAATAAACTAAGATTGAACTAGCACATGGTTTGGGGCATCAGCTCTTCATGGTTTATTAGCATACCTTTAGAGAATAATCACATCCATAAGTGTAATGGATGATAAATTTCTTCCCGACTTCCAAATCCCAAGGTGGCTGAAAAACCATTTCAAATACTATTAAGGACATTTTCTGGTAATATATCAATGATCTGTAATTGGGAAGAATTTCGAAAACTAATAAAATAGATAATTAAAGAAGGTAAGATGAAAAACCTGTATCATGAAGTCTTTCTGAAGAATATGTTGCACGCCATGTAATGCAGATGCAACAGCATATGCATACCTTAGTTCAACATAGAAATGACATAAACATCATGAGATTGTCAGTAAACGAAAATGAAATACTCTCTGCAAAAATATAAAACTGTGCATGTATGAAATCCTTCTGAAAATATCCTTACATTTCTAGAACCCATCCAAAAGCCTTGTCAGTCTCTGGGTCATCTTTCATTCTCAATGACACATTCATCCATGTTGGTGCAATTTTTTCTAGCAAAGACTGAAAAAGGTAGTTTAATATGGAATATAACTTAGATACCATAGACAACCAACAAATTGAGTGTGGATAAGGAATAAGGACTATAACAATGGTAACAATGACTTCCAACAGTTAGCACCAATGGAACTCTTGATAAAGCCACAGTTATACCTTATTTTGACCAACATTTATACATGGAGAGAAGCAGTTTATTTGAATCACAGCAGAAAGAATAAACCAACCTTCTTGATAATTACAGGAGAATTGCCAATTGGATCGATATTTATTACTGGACCTTTCTCTTCTGGGTAAAACTTCCTTATTATTTTCTCATTTTCAGCAGGCTTGATGTAGAAAAATGGGAATGCTGCTGGATATCCTCCATGTGACAAGTTAGGGAGAGGATTTACAAAGATGTGATCAGGCTCTGCCATCAGTATATACCTGCATTACTCATGGAATGCCTACACATTCAAATTTATTGGATAATCAAAGAACCTAAAATCTTTATAACATAGAAGTGAACTTACTCCTCCTCAATTGTTGCCTTTTCCAGCCATTGCACAAAGGCCCAAGGTCTATTTAAGACAATGTAACCCTGGAAACAATATTTAAAAACAATTTGAAAAATAAGTAATTAAAAAAAGAAAAACAAAACCAATAAGATGAGTGAAACTGAACGGTCTAAATATTTGATTTTCATAAAAAGCAAGTGGGAAGCTCATTGATTTGGTCTCATTTTTTCCACCAAAACAGTCATTCACTGTAAATGGTGTGACATAAGTAACCTCTATGGAAGCAACATTATCAGCATTAAGTAGGAGGAAAAAGGCATAGTTTAAACTTTAGAGAAAAGTTAAAGGAAATCCCTGTATGGCTCTAATACACTTAGAAAATAAAATGTGTTTAAATGAGCAAATGAAAGAATGCAGGCACACTAGAAGAAAACAGAAAGTGTTTACGGAAGTAGAGTTCTCACCCGATCAAGACCTGCTGGGAGAGGATCAACTACAAAAGTTGGAATCTCATCCATTAGGTTGTCAGGGCTTCCAGAATGTAACACCCTAGTGAATCCACCCATATCTGACCCAGGCATTTCTTTTATCCTCTTGTACCAATAGTACATAATGCGGCATTGCCATTTGCTATAAGGTGCATCGGTTGCAGTAAGGGCAACATGAAAAGGCATCTTAGTGCTCCCAGGTCTCTTAACATTCTCAGGCATCTGAATAATGGGATCAGATAACGCTGACAAAGAGGTACCATCCAAACCATCCACTATCAACTTCCCAGAACTTATGGCTCTATTGTGGATTACCATTGTTATCAGATTATATGCAAAGAAAAAACCCAGTGCCAGAAGAACCAGAAATAGAGACGCCCGTCCCATGTTCTTTCTTCCAGTCATTTTAGTTTGCCTCACTAAACGAATTCCAAATTCTTCCAAGTTAGTTTAACACAGTCGTCCTATCCATGGCAGCTAGAGGAAAAACACTCCCTCATCCAACCCCAAATTCCTTGCATTTAATAGCTTCGTACACAATTTTTATCCAAATTCCAAACAATTTGACAGAATTCACACGTACCGAAGCTCTGATGAGCAAACTGCAGTAGACAAAGAAGAAGAGATCAAGGTCATGCAGTTGAAGTTAACGCAAACAAAATGTTGAACATAGACAGAACTAAAACTGAAAACAAGAAACAAAATGCATACACGAAAAAATCAGAAAATTTGCAGTTCTTGTGATAGAAAGCCTAAATCTATTACACTTTCCATAAATTTGTAGAACAAGAAAGCTACAGAAAATCTTATACATTCAACACAAAGAAAAGAAGAGAGGGGAGAACCATTCATCAACCAAGACAGCAAGACACAGAAATTATTTTTCCTAAAATCGTCAACCCAGATCTGGAATTCTACTAGAGAAGCCAAATGGGTATCAAATCACAATAACAGAAACTGAGAGAAAGATATGCATTATTAACTTGATTACGAAAAATGAAAGAGCATTTGCTGCAATTGATTGCATGTACCGTGTCACTGAACAGAAATGAAGGAACTAAAGTATCGTATGAGAAACAAGAGGAGATTTTTAAAGGAAGAGGAGTAGAAAAAAAGTGTGTGACCCGAACAATTGCAGAGAGAGTTCCAACTTCCAAGCTTCCAAGCCCCTATGGATCAGAAACCAAGAGATTTGAAAAGTGGGAAACAGGAGGGGCCTCGAGTCTGGACTTCAAAGGATTTGTTTCTTTCTTTTTATATTACAATTTACACCCTTCTCGTAATAGGGTTTTAATAGAAATCCCATTTTTTGGGAATTTCCGTAACCCCCTATTCTTTCTAATTTTGCAAAGTGAGCGATTTAATTTAAAATATTTAATACCAAGATTTTAAAAATCGATTCAGAAACGGAATCACTATCGCCACCGATTTTTGGGTTAATGGTTCAAACATCGGTCTAACGGTACAAATGGTTTGATTACATTAAGACAAATATTTTTGTTGTCTATCTTTCATGAGAACAGTGGTTGAGACAGAGGTGGTTATAGGTTAAGTAAGAAAGAAAGAAAGAAAAGGTGAAAGAGAAAGGTAAAAAAAAAGAAAAGAAAGGAGAGGAGGGAGGAAGGAGGATGAGTAGGGACGGCAATGGAGATGGCGGTGACAATAGAAGCGCAACACAGATCTCTGAGAACTTGAGATCTGTGAGATCTCTCCGCTCCAATATTTTTCTGGCATCTCTCTCTGGGATTTTGGTGATTTTGATACGAGAGTCCCTCTCAATCTTTCAACATCTTTTTTGTCATTAAATGGTGAATCACTATCTGGGTTGACGGTTTGACCGCTTGGGTCAGTTATTTTTTTACCAAATCAATGATTTTTGTTCTAASAATGGGTCAAAGGTGAAATGGAGCTGGTTACTTGAACGGTTTCTGAGCCAAACAGTTTGACTATTCAGGTCAACAATAGTTCAAAAACATGGTTTCATAAGGCAAAAAACTCTTGGTGGGTCAGATTAGAGACCCTTGGCTTTTTTTCTTTGATTTGTGACCCGTCTTTCATTTATGAGAAATTAGTGAATGTGACCCCGTAGTACGGGAAAGTTAAATATAAAATAATTATTTCTGAATTATTAATTACCACTATGAATCGTTATTAATTATCATTCCGAATTAATAATGAGCAATATTATCAGTAATTAAGTATTAGCAGTAATCAGTGAGTTATTACTCTTTCAAAAGGTTGACTCATCATCATCATCATCATCACCAATGACAACAACTTGATAAATACATAATTTGATAAAAATAGGTAAATATCATTAGTTTATTTTTTCATCTTTTGAAAAACTGAATAAGAGAAAAATAAAAAAGTTTGCATTAAAAGTGAAAATTTATTTGGATTTTTGCAAAAAAAAAGTTATTGAACATAAAAAACCAATTATTTAAAAATAAGGTCGTAAACCAAAGAGTAAATAAAGTTATTCAGTAAATAATAATTTTAAGAAATTAAAATTAATAATTAATTATCTATTGAATTAAAATGGGTAATTTCAGCAAATAATTTTAAGTAATTAAATTTTTCTATTAACATTTTTTAATAATAATCAGTATTATTAAAGGATTAATAATATATTAATAATTATGAAATCAGTAATAATAAGTATATTATTATTATTATTATTAT